CTACAGTTTAATAATTACTTTCACTTTATGAACTTAGGTACAAATATGACCTAATCTAAGAGACACAACACTGTTTAACTTTTCAGTTCACATGTATGTATACCAAATATTAATAAATTCAATGGTTATGCTTTGAAATCATTCCGTTCAGTTTTGTATTTTATACTATGTGCTATTTACGTCAAATATAAATTGTATTGCGTCCACGCATTGTCCTTAATCCCACCTTTCCTAGCCAAAATTAAATATTGGTAACACTGTCGCTACACGCCTGTTATATATTTAGAGATTCTTGGTATAATCCAAAGACGAATCCACGATATTATTAGTTCTGACCCGGCATCTTGGCCTCAGTCACTTTCCCACCTCCATAAACTGGATTCTCTGTCCCTTTTTCTATAAATATTTTCATGGTAATTGTTCTTATTTGGTATCTAGGTTTTATGAAGAGCTGTATTAGATTGGCAGCAAGTTCTCATCATTTTTTGTCGAAATGGATAAATGTAACCGTAAGTTTTATGCTAACAGTCTCTTCTATCACACCTCTTGCTTGTGGGATCCTCTTTCGTGTTTTTTTTTTCTTTTTCAGTCAAGTTTGATCTTTAAAACGTTAAATACAGTGTCAATATTTATCTTCTATCTTCTTAATTCTTATTTTTGATTGCCCTCGCTCCTTACTAATGTATTCTCTCATATTCTATAAACACGCGGTAATCCCATTGCGACTTAGTGGCTTTATTACCTTGCTTGGGTAGAAATTATTTAAAAAATACGAAGAGTGATAACCCTCGGTGATATAATCAACATATTCTATTATGAATTCTTTTTATTTGCTTACAAGTATCATTTCTTGCATTCGTCTTTAGATTTTGATGTCCGTCCTTATTGAGATTATAAATATTATAATTTTATTATTATCATTATTATTATTAATACTAACAACAACAACAATAATAATAATAATAATGTGATTACGAAGCTTACGTAACCTTCTTAAAAGACCAGGAATAAATTCAATTTTCAGAAGAAAAAAAAAATGAAATTCCTTGTGAACGCTAATGACTAACATTGGCAATCCATTAACCCTTATGATATCTAGAAAGACGCCTCAGTTTTTATGCATTCAAAACTAAAACAAATAAAAACAAAATCCGACAACATTGGCGCATTAATACCGAAGCCTACTGCTAATATTTGCCGTTTTCTCCCAACAGATTTCGGCTTGACGTAATTGCAAGGCGTTTCCTCTGCGTAGGTGTCGGGTTCAACTTTTTAACTCCAATGATTTGATCGAGTTTACTTTTTTCTTTCGCAAAAGGTTTCCTCTTCTTCTTCCTCTTCTTCTTCTTATTATTATTGACGTATTTGTTTTGTTTATTTTTGGTGTATTTTTTCTTAATCTACGAATTACTTCGGTGAAACTATTCATGGTACCGTATTGGACATCGTTACTTTTCCGATGTAAGCGAAATACGTGCTTATACATTGTACTACAGGAGGGAGAGAACGAGAAGGAGGGGGAAGAGGAGGAAGAAGAAGAACAACAACACGAGCAATAATACCAATAATAATAACAATAACAATAATGAATACGTACATGATAGAGTAAAGAATAAAAATAAAGGCGAATAATAATAATAATAATAATAATAATAATAATAATAATAATAATAATAATAATAATAAATATGTACATGATAGGGTAAAGAACAAAAATAATAATAATAATGATGATAATAATAATAATAATAATAATAATAATAATAATAATAATAATAAAAAATAATAATAATAATAAATATGTACATGTTAAAGAACAAAAAATAATAATAATAATAATAATGATTAAAGATGAATAATAATAATAATAATAATAATAATAATAAGGGGAAATATGTACATGAAACAGTAAAGAACAAAAAAATAATAATAATAATAATAATAATAATAATAATAATAATAATAATTAATAATAAATATGTACATGATAGAGTAAAGAACAAAAAAAAGGCGAATAATAATAATAATAATAATAATAATAATAACATTAAATTGAAGGAATTCACCATAAGAAAATGAAAGAAATAGTGCGTAAAGAGTACTAAAAATGACTGGTATTAAAAACTGAATTGAATTTCAGAACAGAATTATGGCCATTAATAACCTTGCCATCCCAGTGGTCCAATATAGTTTCAACATCTTGAACTGGACTCTAAATGACATCAGACAAATGGATTAAAAAACAAGCTTCTTTCTAAGTATAAGATGCATCATCAAAGGCTGATGTAGACCGTCTATACATACCCCGTCAAAAGAAGGTGGAAGAGGTCTTATTCAGCTAGAATTGTCATACAAGACAACAAATTATTGGCTTATTTAACTACACATGGAAACAACAAATGACTGGATGATAAAATTAGTGAAACAACATGAAAACAGAAATAAAAAAATATTCAATAATAAAAGAAGGCAGTAAATACAAACAACATTTACATTTAGTAGATTCTGTAGTAAATCAAAACAGAAGCCAAGAACCAACTATTGCAGCAAAAGATATGAAAAAGAAAGCCAAGGATAAAGCCCTTGAACAGATGAAACAACGCTGGCAAGACAAACCTCTTGGCCAATATCCAGAACAAATAAACCCAATGTTGATAAAGTTAATACTCATCGATGGACGAGCATCTGGATTAAAAATCTGAAACTGAAGGCTTTATTTTGCAGCGCAAGACCAGAGTCTTTTCACTAGGAATTTTCAGGCAAATATCATACATAATAATGTGGATCCAAAATGCAGGTTCTGTGACAATACCAAGAAACAATAGACCATCTAATCTCAGGATGTTCTATACTTGCCCCCAAATGAATATAAAAAATCGTCACGATAGAGTGGGGCAATACTTACACTGGACAATGTGCAAACACTTTGGAAAAATGTAAGCAAACACTGGTATGAACATCGGCCAGCGCCGGTTACAGAAATAGAAGATGTCACCATTCTATGGGATTATACCATCCACACAGACAGAAAAATTGAAGCAAATAGGCCGGACATTATTGTCAAAACCAGAAAGAAAAAACTTGCCTACTAATTGATATGGCTTGTCCAGCGGATTAAAACATAGCAACCAAGGAATTTGAAAACTATCAAAATACAAAGACCTGAAATTGAAATAGAAAAATGTGGAAATTAAAAAACAAGAATAATACCAGTGGTAATAGGTGCACTTGGAATTATAAAAAATGGAACAAAACAACACACTGAAAGATCCCTTGAAACCCCAGCTTAAGAGACATACAGAAAATTGTCTTATTAATAAACACAGCACACACACTAAGGAGAACTTTGTTATGTAACGCTAGCAACTTCATCGGAGATAAAAAAAAAAAAAAAAAAAATTAACATAAAATGTGGCCTTATAACAACACACCACGATGCCTTAGGTCTTTCCGCAGACTTGGTAGGTAGTGTGTCCATAGCAGAAATCGAATGATGATGATGATGACAATAATTATAATAATAATAAAAAATAATACATGACACAGTAAAGAAAAAAATAAAATAATAATAATAATAATAATAATAATAATTGCTGTTATACTTATTTAGATTTTTGGAAAAGGACAAACATAAAAGCGGAATGGAAAAATACAAAACTAAATGGCGAAAAGCAAAAGAGCAAGATTTACAGGAGGAAAAGGCTACAACATAAATGAAACGTGAAAAAACGAGAACGTAATTGAGCATCTATTTGCTATACTATCAGTAATGGAAGCGGATAAAACAAAGAAAGTTTTCAAATAAGTTTCAGGTCGATTTTGAATTATTCAAATAGATCAGAAGGAAAAGGAAATGAAAGAAGATGGAGTCAGGAGAAGAAGAAGAAATTTATAATGAAAGCAAATTTTAAAGAGAAGTAAAATGAAAAATAATTTCAAGGTTAAGAAATGAAAAAAAAGAAACGAAAAAATAAGGAAAGATGAAGGAAGGACTTATGGCCTATTTCATATGATGACACTAGGGAAGGCGTAGGTCTAACAAATGGCCTTGACAAGATGAGTAGGAAGAATGAATTAAATGATAAGGAAAAGCAAAAAAAAAAGACTAGAAGGAAGAAGAAATATGAAGAAAAAGAAGTAGAAAAAGAAAATGAGAGGAAAGAAAATGAGAAAACATTGAAAAATAGGCGGAAAATTCAGAACGAAGAGGAAGAAGAGATAGAAAAAGAGAGATAGAAGAAGAGAGATAGATGAAGAGATATAGACGGGAGACATATGAAGAGAGATAGAAGAGAGAAGAAAGAAGAAATAGCAGAGAGATAGAAGAAGAGAGGGAGTAGAAGAAAAATAGAAGATAGATAGAAGATAAATAGTAGAAGAGAGATGGAAGAAGAGAGATAGAAGAATAATGACGAAAAGAGATGGAAGGAGTTAGAAGAAGAAAAGGAGAGGTAGAAGGGAGAGAGAAGAAGAGAGATAGAAGTGAGAAAGAAGAAAGATAGAAGAAAGAAGAAGACTCATAGAAGAAGAGAGATAGAAGAAAAGAGATAGATGAAGAAAAGTAGAAGAGACACAAAAGAAGAGAGATAGAAGAGAGAAAGAAGAAGAGAGAAAGAAGAAGAGAGATAGAAGAAGAAAAGTAGAAGAGACAAAATGAAGAGAAAGAAGAGAAAAAAGAAGAAGAGAGAAAGAAGAAAGAGAGAAGAAGGGAAGAGAGATAGAAGAGAGAAAGAAGAAGAGAGATAGAAGAAGAGAGATAGAAGAAGAGAGATAGAAGAGAGAAAGAAGAAGAGAGATAGAAGAGAGAAAGAAGAAGAGAGACATATGAAGAGAGATAGAAGAGAGAAAGAAAAAGAGAGATAGAAGAAGAGAGATAGAAGAAGAGAGATAGACGGGAGACATATGAAGAGAGATAGAAGAGAGAAAGAAGAAGAGAGATAGAAGAAGAGAGAGAAGAAGAGAGAAAGAAAAGAGAGAAGAAGAAGAAGAGATAGAAGAAGTTAGAAGAAGAGAGAAGAAGAGAGAGAAGAAGAGAGAAAGAAGAAGAAGAGAAGAAGAGAGATAGATGAGAAAAAAGAAGAGAGAAAAAGAAGAAAGAAGAAGAAGACAGAAGAAGAGAGAAGAAGAAGAGAGAAAAGAAGGGAGAGAAAAGAAGAGAGATAGAAGAGAGAAAGAAGAAGAGAGATAGAAGAGAGAGAGATGAGAGAAAAGAGAAGAGAAAAGAAAGAAAAAAGAAAAGAGAAAAGAAGAGAAGAAGAAGAAGATAGACGGGAGAAAAAAGAAGAGAAAAAGAAGAGAGAAAGAAGAAGAGAGAGAAGAGAGAAGAAGAGAGAAAGAAAAGAGAGATAAAGAAAAGAGAAAGAAGAGAGAAAGAAGAAGAGAAAAAGAAGAAAGAGATTGAGAAGAAAAGAAGAAGAGACAAAATGAAAGAGATAGAAGAGACAAAGAAGAAGAGAGAAAGAAGAAAAAGAAAGAAGAAGAAAGAGAAGAGACACAAAAAAGAGAAGAAGAGAGAAAGAAGAAGAGAGATAGAAGAGAGAGAAGAAAAAGAGGAAGAAAGAAGAAGAAAGAAAGAAGAAGAGAGAGAATAAAAAAGAAGAAGAAGAAAAGAAGAAAGAAGAAGAAGAAGATAGAAGAGAGAAAAGAAAAGAAGAGAGAAAGAAGAGAGAAAGAAAAAAGAGGAAGAAGAAGAGAGAAAGAAGAAGAAGAGAGAGAATATAGAAGAGAGAGAAAGAAGAAAGAAAGAAGAAGAGAGAAAGAAGAAGAGAGAAAGAAGAAGAGAGAGACAAGAAAGAAAAGAGAGAGAAGAGAAGAGAGAGGAGAAGAGAGAGAGAAGAAGAGAAAGAAAAGAGAGAAAAAGAAGAAAGAAGAAGAAGAGAGAAAAAGAGAGAGAAGAAGAGAGAAAAAAAGAGAGATAGAAGAAGAAAGAAGAAGAAGAAAGAGTAGAAGAAAAAAAAAGAAGAGAGAGAAGAGAGAAAGAAGAAGAAGAGAGAGAAAAAGAAGAGAGAGGGGAGAAAAAGAAGAGAGATAGAAGAAGAAAGAAGAAGAGAAAAAGAAGAGAGAGAAGAAGAAGAAGAAGAGACACAAAGAAGAGAGAAAGAAGAGAGAAAGAAGAAGAGAGATAGAAGAAGAAGAGAGAAAAGAAGAGGCAAGGAAAAGAAGAGATAGAAGAGAGAAAGAAGAAGAGAGATAGAATAAAGAGAGATGAAGAGGGAGAAATAAGGAAGAGAGAAGAAGAGAGAAAGAAGAAGAGAGAAGAAGAAGAGAGATTGAAGAAGAAAAGAAGAAGAGACACAAAGAAAGAGAGATAGAAGAGAGAAAGAAGAAGAGAGAAAGAAGAAGAGAGAAAGAAAAGAGAAGAAAGAGACAAAAGAAGAGAGAAGAAGAGAGAAAGAAGAAGAGAGAAAGAAGAAGAGAAAAGAAGGGAAGAGATAGAAAAGAGAGATAGAAGAGAGAAAGAAGAAGAGAGAAAAGAAGAGAGATAGAAGATGAAGAAAAGAAGAAGAGAGAGAAAAGAAAGAGAGAGAGAAGAGAAGAAGAAGAGAGAAAAAGAAGAGAGATAGAAGGGAGAAAAAAGAAGAGAGAAGAGAGAAAGAAGAAGAGAGAAAAGAAGAGAGAAGAAGAAAAGAAGAAGAGAGAGAGAAAGAAAAGAAGAGAAAAGAGAAGATGAAGAGAGAAGAAGAAGAAAGAAAAGAAAGAGATAGAAAGAGAAAGAGAAAGAAGAGAGAGAGAAAAGAGAGATAGAAGGGAGAAAAAGAAGAGAGAAAGAAGAGAGAGAGAAGAAGAGAGATAGAAGAAGAGAGAAAGAAGAGAAGGAAGAGAAGAGAAGAGAGAAGAAGAAGAGAGAAAGAAGAGAGAGAGAGACGGGAGAGAAGAAGAAAGAGAAAAGAAGAGAGAAGAAGAAAGAAAGAAGAGAGAAGAAGAGAAGAAGAAGAATTTAGAAGAAAGAAAAAGAAGAGATAGAAGAGAGAAAGAAGAAGAGAGGAGAAGAAGAGAGAAAGGAGAAGAGAGAAGAGAGAAGAGAGATAGAAGAGAGAAAGAAGAAGAGAGAGAAAAGAAGAGAGAGAGGAGAGAAGAAGAAGAAGAGAGAAAAGAGAAGAAGAAGAGAGAAAGAAGAAGAGAGAGAAAAGAGAAGAGAAGAGAGAGAGAGAGAAAAGAGAAGAAGAAGAGAAAGAAGAAGAGAGAAAGAAGAAGAGAGAGAAGAAGAAAAGAGATAGAAGAGAGATATTAAGAAAGGAGAGAAGAAGAAGAAGAAGAGAAAAGAAGAAGAGAGAAGATGAAGAAAGAAGAGAAGAAAAGAAAAGAAGAAGAAAGAAGAAGAGAGAGAGAAGAAGAGAAAGAAGAGAGAAGAGAGAGAAAGAGAAGAGAAGAAGAGAGAGAGAGAAGAAGAGAGAAAAAGAAGAGAGAGAAGAGAGAAAAGAAGAAAGGAGAGAAGAAGAAAGAGAAAGAAGAAAGAGAGAAGAGAAAAGAAGAAGAGAGAGGAGAAGAAGATAGAAGAGAAGAAAAGAAGAAGAGACAGAAGAAGAGAGAAGAGAGAGAGAAAGAGAGAGAAGAGAGAAGAAGAAGAAGAAGAGAGAGAAGAAGAAGGGAGGAAGAAGAAGAAAGAAGAAGAGAGAAAGAAGAAGAGAGATAGAAGAGAGAGAGAAGAAGGGAGAAATGAAGAGAGAAGAAGAAGAAAGAAGAAGAGAGAAGAAAAAGAGAAGAAGAAGAGAAAAGAAAGAGAGAAGAAGAGAAAGAGACGGGAGAAATAAGAAAGAGATAGAAGAGAGAAAGAAGAAGAGAGAAAGAAGAAGAGAGATAGAGAAGAAAAGAAAGAAGAGAGAAAAAGAGAGAGAGAGAAGAGAAGAAAAGAAGAGAAGAGATAGAAGAAGAGAGAGAGAAGAAGAAGAGAGAAAGAAGAGAGAGAGAAGAAGAGAGAGAAGAAGGGAGAGAGAAAGAAGAGAGAGAAGAAGAGAGAAAAGAAGAAGAGAAAAGATGAAGAAAGAAGAGAAGAGAAAGAAGAAGAGAGAAGAAGAAGAGAGATAGAGAAAGAAAAGAAGAGAAGAGAGAAAAAAAGAAGAGAAGAAGAGAGAAAGAAGAAGAGAGAGAAGAGAAGAAGAGAGAAAGAAGGAAGACAGAGAAGAGAGAAAGAAGAGAAAAAGAAGAAGAAGAGATAGAAGAAGAGAGATAGAAGAAGAAAAGAAGAAGAGAAGAAAAAGAGAGAAGAGAAGAGAAGAAGAAGAGAGAAGAAGAAAAAGAGAAGATAAAAAAAAGAAGAGAGAGAAAGAGAGAAAAGAAGAAGAGAGATAGAAGAAAAGAAGATGAAGAAAAGAGAGAAGAGAAAAAAGAAGAAAGAGAAGACAGAAGAAGAGAGAAAAAAGAAGAGAAGACGGGAGAAAAGAGAGAGAGAAAGAGAGAAAGAAGAAGAAGAAGAGAAGAAGAGAGATAGAAGAAACGAAGAGAGAAGAAGGGAAGAAGAAGAAAGAAAAGAGAGAAGAAGAAAGAGAAAGAGAGAAAATAACAAGAGAAATAAAGAGAAAAAAGAAAGAGAGATGAAAAGAAAAGAAGAAGAAAAAAGAAGAAGAGAGAAATGAAGAAAAGAAGAAGAGAAAAAGAAGAGAGAAAGAATGAGAAAGAAAAAAGAGAGAAAGAAGAAGAAGAGGAAAGAGAAAAAAGAAGAAGAGAGAAAAGAGAGAAGAGAGAGGGACAAAAGAAAGATGAAAAAAAATAGAAGAGAAAACTGAACATAGAAAAGAGAAAGAAGAAGAGAGAGAAAAAAGAAAAAAGAGGACGGGAAATTAGGAAGAGAGAGAAAGAAGAGAGAAAGAAGAAGAGAAAAAAGAAAGAGAGAAGGGAGAAAGAAAAGAGATAGAAGAGAGAAAGAAGAAGAGAGAAAAGAAGAAGAGAGATATTTCCAAAGAGAGAGAAAGAGAGATAGAGAAGAGAAAGAAGAAGAAGAGAGAAAAGAGAAGAGAAAGAGAAGAAAAAAGATAGAAGAGAGAGAAAGAAAAAAGAAGAAGAAGAGAGATAGAAAAGAGAGAGAGGGAAAAAGAGAGATAAGAGAGAAAGAAAAGAGAGAAGAAGAAGAGAGAAAAGAAGAAGAAAAGAGAAGAGAGAGAGAGAAGAGAGAAAAAAGAAAGAAAGAAGAGAGATAGAAGAAGAGAGAAGAGAAGAAAATAAAGAAAGAGATAGAGAGAGATAGAAGAGAGAAGAAGAAAAGAGAAGAAAGAGAGAGATAAAAAGAGAGAAAGAAGAAGAAAGAAGAAGAGAGATAGAAGAAGAGAGATAGACGGGAGAAAAAGAGAAGAAGAGAGAGAAAGAAGAGAAAGAAGAAGAGAGAAAGAAGAAGAAAGATAGAAGAAGAGAGATGAGAAGAAAAGAAGAAGAGAGACAAAGAAGAAAGAAGAAGAGAGAAAGAAGAAGAGATTGATGAAGAAAAGAAAGAAGAGACAAAAAGAAGAGAGAAAGAAGAGAGAAAGAAGAAAAGAGAGAAGAAGAGAGAAGAAAAGGAAGAGAGATAGAAGAGAGAAAGAAGAAGAAAAAAAGAAAGAAAAGAGAGATAGAAGAAGAAGAGAAGAAAAGAGAGATAGAAAGAGACAGAAAAAAGAGAGAAAGAAGAAGAGAGATAGACGGGAAAAGAAGAAGAGAGAGAGAAGAGAGAAAAAGAAGAGAGAAAGAAGAAGAGAGATGAAGAAAAGGCATAAGAGAGAGAGAGAAAAGAAAGAAGAAGAGAGAAAGAAGAAGAGAGATAGACGGGAGACAAAAGAGAAGAGAGAGAGAAAGAAGAAGAGAGAGAAGAGAGAAAGAAGAAGAAAAATAAAGAAGAGAGAGAGAAGAAAGAAGAGAGATAAAGAAGAGAGAAGAATAAGAGAGATAGAAGAGAAAAGAAGAGAGAGAGAAGAAAGAGAAGAGAGAGAGGAAGAAGAAGAGAAAAAGAAAAAGAAGAAGAAAGAGATAGAAGAAAAAGAAAGAGAGATAGAAGAGAGAGATAGAAGAAGAGAGATAGAAGAGAGAAAGAAGAAGAGAGATAGAAGAAGAGAGATAGATGAAGAAAAGTAGAAGAGACACAAAAGAAGAGAGATAGAAGAGAGAAAAAGAAGAGAGATAGAAGAAGAGAGATAGACGGGAGACATATGAAGAGAGATAGAAGAGAGAAAGAAGAAGAGAGATAGAAGAAGAGAGATAGAAGAGACACAAAAGAAGAGAGATAGAAGAGAGAAAGAAGAAGAGAGATAGAAGAGAGAAAGAAGAAGAGAGACATATGAAGAGAGATAGAAGAGAAAAGAAGAGAGAAGAAGAAGAGAGAGAAGAAGAGAGAGAGGGAGGGAAGAGAAAGAGAAGATAGAAGAGAAAAGAAGAAGAGAGAGAAGAAGAAGAGGAAAGAAAAGAAGAAAGAACAAAAGAAGAGAGATAAAAAAGAGACAGAAGAAGAGAATAACTGAAGAGAGAGAACGGGAGAAATAAAAAAGAGAGATAAGAAGAGAGAAAAAGAAGAAAGATAAAGAAGAAATAGATGAAAAAAAAAGAGAAGAGACAAAAAGAAAGAGATTAAAAGAAGAGATAGAAGAAAGAGAAGAAGAAGAGAGATAACGGGAAAGTCGGAAGAGAAAAAGATGAAAGAAGAAGAGAGATAGAAAAAGAAGAGAAGGAAAGTAGAAGAGACAAAAAGAATGAGATAAAGAGAGAAGTTTTGAAGAGAAAGAAGAAGAGAGAAAGACGGGAGACATGAAATGAGAGAGAGAAGAGAGAAAAAGAAAAATGGCAAATGAATAAGAAAAAAGAAAGAAGAAAGAAGAGGAAAAAAGAAATAGGAGAAGAGAAAAGAAGAAAGGAATAGGAGAAAAGATAATAGTGAAAAACATAAAATAAAAAATTCTGAACATTGAGAAAGAATCAACATAAAAGAAAATGGCAAAAAACAAGAAAGTGAAAAGAAAGAAATAAAAAAAAAGGAGAAAGAAAAATTTAAAAGAGATAGAGAAAGGAAAGGCAAAACAAAGAAAGAAAGGCGAGAAAAGAAGAGAGAGAAAAGAGGGATAGATAAAAGAAAAGAAGAAAGATAGAAAAGAGAAAAAATCAACGTGAAAGTTTTGACGAAAGAGAAAGAAGAAAAAAAGAAAAGAAAAATGGGAGATGAGAAAAGAAAAAGAAACAAATGAATAAGAAAAAAGAAAGAAGAAAGAAGAGGAAAAAAGAAATTGAGAAGTAGAAAAGAGAGCAAGGAATAGGACAAAAGAAGAAGAGAAAACAGAGACAAATTTGAACAGAGAAAGAAGAAGATAGAAAGAAAAAAGCAAAAAATAAGAGAGAAATAAATAAAAAAGGAGAAGAAAAAATAAAGAAGAAGTGAGACGGAAAAAGATAGAAGAAAGAGAGGCGAGAAAAAGAGAGAGAGAGAAGAAGAGGGATAGAAGAGACGCAGAAGAAGAGAGATAGAAGAGAGAAAGTAGAAAAGAGATAGCAGAAGAGAGACAGAAGGAAAAAGAAAAAGAAAGATAGAAGATGAGAAATAGAGGAAGAGAGATAGAAGAAAAGAGATCGAAAAAAAGAGAGGCGATAAAAAAGAGAGATAGAAGAAGAGAGATAGAAGAAAAAAGATAGAAGAGAGAGAGGCGAGAGACAAAAGAGAGATGGAAGAAGAGAGATAGAAGAAAAAGATAGAAGAGAGAGAGGCGATAAAAAAGAGAGATAGAAGAAGAGAGATAGAAGAAAAAGATAGAAGAGAGAGAGGCGATAAAAAAGAGAGATAGAAGAAGAGAGATAGAAGAAAAAGATAGAAGAGAGAGAGGCGATAAAAAAGAGAGATAGAAGAAGAGAGATAGAAGAAAAAGATAGAAGAGAGAGAGGCGATAAAAAAGAGAGATAGAAGAAGAGAGATAGAAGAGACACAGAAGAAGAGAGATAGAAGAGAGAAAGTAGAAAAGAGATAGAAGAGAGACAGAAGGAAAATAAAAGAAGAGAGATAGAATAAGAGAAATAGAGGAAGAGAGATAGAAGAAAAAAGATAGAATAAAGAGAGGCGAGAAAAAAGGGCGATAGAAGAAGGGAGATAGAAGAAAAAAGATAGAAGAAAGAGAGGCGAGAAAAAAAGAGAGATAGAAGAAGAGATAGAAAAGAAAGATGGAAAAAGAGAGGCGAAAAAAAAGAGAGATAGAAGAAAAAAGATAGAAGAGAGGCGAGAAAAAATAGAGGAAGAGATACAAGAAGAAAGATGGAAGAAAAGAGATACAAAACGAGAGATAGAAGAGACACAGAAGAAGAGAGATCGAAGAGAGAAAGAAGGGAAATAGAAAAATAGAGATAGAATAAGAGAAATAGAGGAAAAGAGATAGAAGAAAAGAGATAAAAATAAATAAAGAAAGATGGAAAAAGAGAGACGGAAGAAGAATGAAACAGATACAAGAAGACAGGAGAAGAGAGATAGAAGAAAGACAGAAGAGGAGAGGTAGAAGAGAGAGAGAAGAATAGAGATAGAAGAGAGAAAGAAGAAGCAGAAGAAGAAGAAGAAGAAGAAGAAGAAGAATAGAAGAAAAGAGATGGATAAAGAAAGAAAGAAGACAGAAGAGACATAGAAGAAGAAAGACAGATGTGAGATAGAAGACAGAGAGAAAAAAAAGATAGTAGAAGACAAATAGAAAATAGAAGAGAGAGATAGAAGAAGAGGGGTAGAATTAGACAGATAGATAGATAGATAGATAGATAGATAGATAGAAGAAGAGAGATAGATGGTAGACATTAGAAATGTGATAGATCGAGGAGAGATGAAAAACAAGAAATATATTCGGAATGTAGAGAAAAAAGAAAAGAATGGCAAAAAAATAATGGTGCATAATAAATAATTAAATGAGAAATTAAAATATAAACGAGAAAAAAGAAATTTAAAATGAAATAAAAGAAAAGAAAGAATTAAGGAAGAATTATAAAGACGAAAAATAAAATAAAAGGCTAAAAATATATTAAGAAGAAATAAGTGAATAGAAAAAAATGGAAGCTAAAATAAAGAAAAAGAAAATGTCAGAAGAAACGACAAAAAGAACAAAAAGAACTGCATGTCCACTTTCTTTCTTTTTATGTGCCATGTCCTTTCAGGGCGCAGGCGATTATGGCTCTCCACCTCCCTCAATTCCTTGCAGCTCTCAACAAGTTCCTTCCCTCTGCTTCCTCCCCCCAGACCACGTTCTGTCATCCACTTGCTTAAGCCCGCCAGGTATGTCACGCGTTGTTTTCCCTTGTCTCTCTTTCCATCTATTCGACCCGTGAGTATCAGATACTCCAGACTCTCCTTTCTCATTTTGATGTCCCAGAAACTTCAGCTGCCTCTTCCAGATGCCGCTAGACTATTTCATAAAATATTTTATCGTCATTTAACTAGATAATACCAAAATATTGTCCAGACGTAGTAAAAGACATACAACGTAGCTTCTACAGTCACTTTCTTGCTATGGCTTCCCTCGGTCTTTTCTACAAATATTTTCATGACAACTGCTCTGACGAGCTACTTTTATTGGTTCCCAAACTGCATGAATTTAAGCGTGCTACTAGGTTGGCATCTCGGTCCCACACCTTTTACTTTCGTAACGGCAAAATGTAGCCGTCTCTTCTACTCCAATAGCTTCATGTCTCGCACTTCCTGTCTGTTGAACTCCCTTTCTCTTACTTCTTTCCCTGATAGCTATAATCTTCAAATAATCAAATGTAATGTCAATCGACATTTTCTGATGCCTTGACCTTGATCCCTGAACTTCTCTTTATCCTTTTCCCAAACACACCTCTTTACTCTCACTCTCTGTAACCCCTTCAGTGCTAGTGGCACTCACGCCTTGCTTGGGGTGATTTGCTTAAAAAATCGGAAGAAATGAATAATATAATTCTGGAGCCGATGTTCTTACGAAAAAGTGTATAAAATTCACGAAGTCTGTCCCGAAACATGACACGCACAGATGTCAACAGGGTCCACATCACTCTGGCTGCTTATCTTCAAGACACTCATTCACGCCCGCACGCAAAATGGCAAACTACAAAGGCTACTCTAAACTACGGCACCATAGTTCATAGTAGGAACTAAATTCTATATATCTCTTATATCCCCACGTTACTACTAAAAACACACACACGAGCGCATAGTGAGACTTTCACACACACACACACACACACACACACACACACACACACACACACACACACACACACACACATAACAAAATGGAAAAAAAAACAAAACAAGAGCGCTGAAGATAAAAAAAAATTAATGGGGAAGAAGAAAAAGAAAAAAAATGTAAAAGAGAAGCATTTAAAAAGAAAGAGAAAAAGAAAACATAAAAAGTGAAGAGAAGTCAAAAGAAAATGAGAAAAAAAAAACGATTCTACACGTGATACACCCTTGGGTGATCATGTCTCTTTTCGATTCATGACTGACTAGGCAGCATATTTCCTGTAGTAGGCTACCGTAGACTGGCTGCCAACCAAGACTGTAGGATTTTTCAATACATAGCTGCAGGAAGAAGCGGTTTATCCATCCCTTTCTCAAGGAATGTAACATACCCAATTGGAATTCGAAACATACGAAACAAATTAAATTTATATTCTATTAACCAAAACAAAAAGACATTACTGTAATGACAAAAATACGCGGGTGTTGGCTTCAAGAAAGCTTTATTCAACTGAGAATACAAAGTTCGCTAATAGTGTCCTTTTATAGTCCCAGTAAACAGAAATAGTTTTCTCAAAGAGGCGAGTAACAAAATAAGAAGAGACCACGTTTGATTATTCAAAACAATTACTTTCAAATATAGAACCAACTTCTTGAATTCTTGTTATATTAAATTAATATTTGTTTGTTGCTACTACGTTGTATTTTTCTATTGTATTTTATACTTTCAATGAAAATCGTAGGATTATTCTAACGGCCGAATTACGAGCAGTCCCGCAACAATATTTTAGGTTATTGTATCGAATCCCGACACTCCGAATTTTGACAATTAACAAAAACCCGAGTAGAAAGATTCCTACAGAACGTTTAAAGAGATATCTGCAATGTTGTCGACCCTGACCTGGCATCTCAAGTTCAGTCTTTTTCTCACCGATGTGACATGGCTTCACTTTGTCTTTTCATCAAGTATTTTCAGAGACTGGTGCCTAGACTGCATGAAGTTGAGATGTCTACTAGATTGGCAAGTAGGAGCTAACGTTTTAATGTTAAAATAGCTAGATGTAGTTCTATTGTAATCATTCCTTTTCTTGGACTTCTAACCTGTAGGGCTACCTTTTGATTTCTTGCTTACCTACCACCTGCAAACTTTAAACATTTAAATACAACGTCAATCCCTTGCTAAATCTCCTCATTAATATATTTTCATTCTCTTTCACTCCGAGTAACCCCGGGCGTTCTAGTGACATCATCGCCTCGTTTTGAGCGAAATGATTAACAAAGTGAAATACAAGGAATATAGGAGAAAGCTTTTTAAAAAAGAAGAAATTAACAAAATAGAGATTGGTAAATCACTGAAAGAGAATGAAAAGACGAAAAGTAAAATGAGAGAAAGAAAAGAGAATAAGGAGAAAGAGAAATAAAACAAAAGTGGAAGTAAAAGTCCACAAAAAAAATCATAATAGCGAAAAGTTAAGGAAAAAAGAGAAAATGAATGACAAAAAGCATTGACGAAAAAGACGAAAACAGAAAAATTAATGGGGAGGAAGAGAGTAAAAAATTTGAAAGATAAAAACAACTTTAAATGGGGAAAAAAGAAAAAGAAAAAAAAAGGGAAAAGAAAAGATAGACGAGAAAGAAAATGAAAAAGCGAAAAGCACCAAAAACACGCACAAAAAAAAACAAAAAAAAACGGGGAATAAGAAGCGAAAAAATTAAGCGAAAAAGAGAATGACAGAAAAGTTGAAGAGAATTTCAAATGCATAGACGAAAAAGTCGAAGACAAAACAATTAGAAAAAAGAGAAAGAAGAAAAAAGTGGATGGCAGAATATCCTAGAAAGCTTTTAAAAAAGAAATTAACGAAACAGAGAATGGCAAATCACTAAGAAGAGAATGAGAAGACGAAAATTAAAACGGGATCAATTGTGTCAATTAATGGCGGGAAAGAAAGCAAAATATTGCAAAAGAGAAAAAAAAAAGGAAAAAATTTAAGCGTAAAAGAGGGTGACAGAAAAAGTTGAAGAGAATTTTAAAAAGCATAGATGAGAAAGACGAAGACAAAAACAATTAATGGCAGGAAAGAAAAACAAAATACTGTAAAAGCTGAACATGGAAAAGAAAAGGGAAAAAGGAAAAGAAAGAAAAAAGTAAGTAAAAAAGGGGAAAAAATAAACGAAAAAGATGATGACAAAAACGGATAGAAAACAGAAACAAATTAAACGAAAGAGAGTGACGGAGAAAGAAAAGAGAATAGCAAAAAAAAAAAAAAAAACGAAAAAAGAAAAGGAAACGAGAGTGATGAAGATAAAAAAAATAATGGCGAAGAATAAAAAGAAAAATTTTAAAGAGAAAGACAAACATTTAAAGAGAAAGACAAAAGAGAAGAGCGTAAAAAGAAAGTGAGAAAAAATGGAAAAAAAATAATGCAGTCAAATTCTATACTTGATATACCCTTGGGCGATCAAAACTCTTTTCGATTCACGACTGACAAGGCAGTAGATTTCCTGCAGTAGTCTGCCTTAGACTGGCTGCCAACCAAGGCTGTAGGGTTCTGTCTGCTCTGTTTTTCAATACATAGCTGGAGGAAGAAGAGATTGATCCATTTCCTTTTCCAAGGATATTTGCACTTAAGTGAATGTAACAAAGCCAATTTCTCATTTCGGTCTCTTATCCACTACACCAACCGCACATGCACGCTAATATCATCAGGTATTCCCAAGCAGTTACCCATTTAGGTAATGACCAGTTTTAACATATACGCAATCCTTATCCCTTATTCTTTCACTCTCGAATATTCTAAGACAAAAAAAAAACAAAAAAAACTCCGGAACTTATAAAATATAGCTTACCTCAAAATTCTGTGAGACTCTAGTGATAGTACAAGAACCGGTATTTCAATGCGCTACGGCCATTTATGACATGTATTTCTGTTGTATCCTTAAAGAGTTTAAAAACAAAGGTAGTACTCGAGTGAAAGGAACAGCAACACGGGCATAGATGAAAGAAAGAGAGGTTTATTGTAAAAGAGAATACTCTACTGAAAGGCAGGGAATCGGTTAGCAAACTAGTAATTCTCGAAGCAAGGATATCTACCAACCGCCCCTCGCAGTCAGATGTGACACAAGGCCGAATTTACCATGGGGTATGCGAGCCCGTAGGATCGGTCAAAAATTCCTCGTATAAAACGAGGTCGGGTAGCTGTTTCCCTAGAAGAGACGCTGCCTTTCGACATAGTCTCGTCTGGGGATCTTTTCTGCCCGGAGGTATAGAGATTGACCAACACATCTGGAGACGAATCACCGACAAATTCCCGAAGCAAGGTTATTTACCTTACCTCCCCGCGAATCAGGATGTGATACAAGTCCGTTTTTTAATGCGGGTTCAAAACCGAGCCTGCGTATACACGGGGTCAGGTAGCTGTCTATCACCCCAGACGAGGCTATGCTGAAAGACAGAGTTTTGTCTGGGTTCCTCTCTGCCTTCAGGCAGAGAATTTGACAGCACAGCTGGAGACGAATCTCTAAATAATTGCCGAAGCAACGTTATTTACCGTACTTCTTCGCGAGGCAGGATGTGGCACAAGGCCTTTTTTAATGCGGCGCAAAACAGAGCCCGTAGGCTCGGGCAAAAATTCCCCGTATACACCAGGTCGAGTAGCTGTCTATCACCCCAACCGAAACACTGCCCTTCGTCATAGCCTCGTCTGGATTCCTCTCTGCCCGAAGGCAGAGAGTTCGACAGCACAGCTGGAGACGAATCTCCAATTGCCGAAGCAAGGTTGTTTACCTTACCTCCCCGTGAGGTAGGATGTGACACAAGACCGTGTTTTTAATGCGAGGTAAAACATTATGTGTACACTTCTTTGGTGCCAAGCCTCACAAATCACGATTTCAATAATCGCACTTTATTACTGGGCGTGTCACGTGTCCAGAGTACATCCCACTCTATTCTCACGTATCATCCTATTTGAAGAACTCGCCAGCGGCAAGAGGCCCAAAACGACGTTTCAAAGATCAATTGAAAACATCCCGGATACAGGACCCTGAGATATGGGAATCCGTTGCTGCAAATCCTCCTTCCTGACCACCAAGGTGGGACCGACACTTTCGAGTCCAAACGTCAACATGCAAAGGCTCTGCGACGTGCTGTCAGGAGGGCCGCGTCCATCAACCACACTCCTCTCTGACTCCTGATTAAGACTCTTGAGGAGTAGGCTGGCCCTTCACAGCCAACACCGGCTGGTTTGGGGGAGAAAAACGGATTAAGGAGAGCGGATGACGACATCGATGCTCAGATACGATTGGGTGTCGACGATAATTGCCGTCATCTGTACGAATTACCCACTTTGAAATGTTGCTTTAGTTCATTTTAAATTTGACGTTCCAGAGAGACATCATTGAATCTATTTGTCGTTGTTACCATAACCTCAAGTTCAACATAATTTTCGGCAAAGAGTTTCAAATTATCCCTGAAGAACAAATGATTAAATATGTTATCGATTATCTGCTATCCATAAACCTGTTACATTTTGTTCATTTTAAAGTGCCATACACTTCACTGTTCATATTTTCGTTAGCGCATCGAATTTTACCAAATGTGGTAGAAATTTAGCTTCAGTTTCTGTTTTGAGCAAACAATTTCAATGACGATTGTATAATCCTAACTGATGATCATGCGTTGATTTAAGGAATAAATTACGAGTACATTAACATACGGCAATGTTCAAAGTAAATGCCACTATTGATCCCGTGTTACTTTTTGTCTTCTCATTCTCTCTTTAGATATTTTGCCATTCTCTCTTACGTTAATTTCTTCTTCTTTTTTTAAGCTTTCTTGTATATTCTGCCACCCATTTTTTTCTTCTTTCTCTTCTTTTTTTTTGTCTCTTCCTTTTTTCTTCTTTCTCTTCCTTTTTTTCCTTTTCTTTTCCAAGTTCCTCCTATGCAATATTTTGTTTTCTTTCCCGCCATTAATTGTTTTGTCTTCTACATTTTCGTCTATGCTTTTGAAATTCTTTTCAACTTTTCTGTCATCCACTTGTTCGCTTAATTTTTTCGCTTCTTATTTCCCGTTTTTTTTTTTTAGTTTTTTGGGGTTTTTTTGGTGCCTTTTGCTTTTTCATTTTCTTTCTCGTCTAGCTTTTTCTTTCCCTTTTTTTTGGGGCTTTTTTCTTTTCCCCATTTAATACTAGCTTTTGTCTTTCACATCTTCAGCTCTGTTCCTCTACATCCTTTTTTTTCGTCATCGTCTTTTTCGTCTATGCTTTTTGTCATTCGTTTTCTATTTTTTCCTTTCTTTTTTTCTCTTTTTTTTTTATTTCTCTTCTTCCTTATTCCTTTTTTTCTATCTTTTTACTTTTCGTCTTTTCATTCTCTTTTAATGATTAACAATTCTCTCTTTCGTTAATTTCTTCTTTTTTTAAAGCTTTCTCGTATATTCTGCCACCCACTTTTTTCTTCTTTCTCTTCCTTTTTACTTCTGTCTCTTCCTTTTTTTCCCTTTTCTTTTCCACGTTCGTTTTTTGCAGTATTTTGTTTTCTTTTTTTTCCTGCCATTAATTGTTTTGTCTTCTACATTTTCGTCTATGCTTTTGAAATTCTCTTCAACTTTTCTGTCATCCTCTTCTTCGCTTAATTTTTTCGCTTCTTATTTTTTTATTCCCCACCTTTTTTTGGTGCCTTTCGCTTTCATTTTTTATTTATTTATTTATTTGCTTTTTCTTTTCCCTATTTAAAGTTGTTTTTGTTTTTCACATTTTTTTGTTCTTTTCCTCCCCATTATTTATTTATTTTTTTGTTTTCGTCTTTTTAGTTTATGGTTTTTGTCATTTTTTTCTCTTTTTTTTTCTTTCTTTTTTCTTGTGATGATATTTCTGTTGGTGGAGGGACTTTTCCTTCTTCTTTTTATTTCTTTTTCTCTTTATTCTTTTTTTCTTCTTTCTCTCATTTTATTTTTTGTCTTTTCATTCTCTTTCAGTGATTTACCATTCTCTGTTTCGTTAATTTCTTCTTTTTTAAAAAGCTTTCGCCTATATTCCTTGTATTTCACTTTTTTAATCATTTCACACCAAAACGAGGCGATGATGTCACTAGAACGCCTGGGGTTACTCGGAGTGAAAGAGAATGAAAATATATTAATGAGGATAATTAGCAAGGGATTGACGTTGTATTTAAATCTTTAAAGTTTGCAGGTGGTAGAGAAGCAAGAAATCAAAAGGTAGCTCTAAAGGTTAGAAGTCCAAGAAAAGGAATGATTACAATAGAACCGCATCTAGCTACTTTAAGAGTAAAACGTTACCTCATACTTGCCAATCTAGTAGTAATCTCAACTTCATGCAGTCGAGGCACCAGGCTATGGAAATATTTGTAGAAAAAACAAGAAGCCGTGTTACATCGATGGGAAAGAGACTGAATTTGAAATGCCAGATCAGGATCCACAACATTGCAGAACATTATTTGAACGTTCTGTAGGAATCTTTCTACTCGGGTTTTTGTTAAACGTTAAAATTCGGAGTGTCGGTATTCGATACAATAACCTAAAATATTGTTGCGGGCCTGCTCGTAATTCGGCCGTTAGAATAATCCTACGATTTTCATTGAAAGTGCGAAATCAAGTAGAAAAACACAACTTAGTATTAGGATGGTGCAAAAATAATGACGTAATAATGTCGTTCTTTGACGTATTTTTTAACGTCAAAAAACGACATTATTACGTCATTATTTTTGCACCAACCTAATATCATCAGATAAACACTAATATAACGCCAAGGATTCAAGAAGTTGGTTCAATATTTGAAATTAATGTCTTTTTGTTTTAGTTAACAAAGTTCTGGAATAGAATATAAATTATATTTGTGCAAGAAAGCTAATGTTGGGCTATTGTCGGGATATTATACAGCTAGAGCTCTTAAAACTCAGCGAATCACTAAATGCATAGTTATCCGTCTAGAAAGTGCCCATTCGATTAGTCGAGAAGCGTCCTGCTTTCGTTCACAGGAGAAATATTGCTCTCATCAATGACATCGCAAGACCACTTACAACAAATATAACAGTGAAAAGAAATTTAAGAATTTGTTTGGTTTGATCTACATATCCCGCCATATTCACCGTTTCCTTAGACCAAGTGATTATTAGCTTTTTACGATCCTTGCAAAAAGATGGGGAAGCTTTTATTATATTTTAAAATGTTTTTTTAATTATTTTTGTTATGTTTATATTTTATATATATTTATTTATTATTTTTATTTATTTAGCTAGTATTTTTAGTCTTTATTAAGTATTGTTATATTTTATATTTTTATTTTATTTATATTCTATTTTTTATTTTATTTTATTTTTATTTTTTAATAACTTATTTATATTTCATAACCTTATTTATATATTTTTTTATTTTTTATTTTTATTTATATCTTATATTTAATAATAATTTGTTTAGTATTTTTATTTATTCAGTATTTTTATTATTTATTTAGTTCTTTTTATATTTTTATTATTTTTATATTTTAACTATTATATTTTATTGTTTTTACGATAATTTTATTATAAATATATTATATATTTAGAGCTCTTAAACTGCAGGGAATCACTAAATGCACAGTTAACTGTCCAGCAGCTGGAACGTGCCCATTCGATTAGTCGAGAATAATCCTGCTTTCGTCCACAGGAGAAATATTGCTCTCATCCATGACAACGCAAGGCCGCTTAGAACCAATGTAACAGCGAAAACAAATTCACCATATCCTTACACCAAATGAATATTAGCTTTTTTTTCGATCGTTGCAAAACGATTTGATGGGAAACCTTTTTCTTAATGAAATCCAGGTTCAATTGTAGTTTGAAGATATTTTTCCCAACAAATATTAATGAAAAAGTACCCATCACACATTCGTGAAAATATTTTTCCCATCAAAACCTGCGGAATTTTAATTAAAAGGTGTAGAAGATATAATTTTTTAAGCATATCACCCTAGGCAAGGCGGGAGTGCCACTAGCAAGCAAGGTTTTACACAAAGTGAGAGCAGGACTAATGAGAAGGTTTAAGGAAAGGACACTGAGAAGGACGGGGATTAGGATGAAGGCATCAGAAGATGTCAATGGACATTAAATTTAAATATTTGAAGGTTATACCGACTAAGGAAGCAAGTAAGAAGGAGGGAGTTCCACTGACAGGAAGTGCGAGATAAGAAGCTGTTGAAGTAGAAGAGAGGGCCACATTTAAAGTGAATGAGTGGGACCGAGTTTCAAACCTAGTAGCAGGCTTAAAATCATGGAGTTTGGGAACCAGTGAGAATAGCTCGTCGGAGCAGTTGCCATGAAAACACTTCTAAAAATTCATCCCTGAGGGAGTGACAGTAGACGAGATGACAGACTTCTATATTCGGATTTTGTCGAGGACCTAGCGATGAACAGCAGTGGCAGAGAGTTCGACAACAAATAAGAGCTGAGTAACAGATCCCAGCTAGAGTATCTAGCAACTGCTCCACGCAGTCACATGTAGCGCAAAGCCGAATTTATGTGGGGTCCCCGAGCCCGTAGGCTCGGCCAACAAATCCTCGTAGACCCCGCATAAATGGGATCGGGTCGGTCCACCTCCCGAACGAGCCTTTGCCCTTTGGCATAGCCTCCTGCGTTCCCCACTGCCCGAGGTCACAGAGTTCGACCAGCACAGCTGAATATTCAACTAGAATATTTGCCAACCGCCCCACGCGGTCGGATGTGGCACAAAGCCGTATTTAACGTGGGGTATACGAGCCGGTACGCTCGGCCAAAAAATCCCTGTAGACTCCGTAAAAAACGGGGTCAGGTAGCTGTCTACCACCCAGACGAAACTCTGCCCTTCGGCATAGCCTCGTCTGAGCTCCTCTATGCCCGAATGCAGAGAGTTCAACCGTATAGCTGAAAAGATTTCACCTAGCATATTTAGGCACCCCTACCACGAGGGTTGCATGTGTCACAAGACCAGGTTTAACGTGGGTTACCCGAGCCCGTAGGCTCGGCCAAAATTATTCCCTATAAACGGGTTCAGGGTCAGTCAACCTCCACGAACGAGACTCTGCCCTTCGGCAGAGCCTCGTCCGTGTTCCTCTCTGCCCGAAGATTTCGGCTATAATATTCAGCCCGTATTAACGGGTTCAGTGACTGTCTACCTCCCCAAACGAGCCTCTGTCCTTCGGCATAGCCTCGTCCGGGTTCCTCTCTGTCCGAAGGCAAAGAGTTCAACCGCACAGCCGAAAGATTTCGGCTAGCCTCTGTAGTCCCTTGACTCACAGATACTTATAGGCAGTTACTACCTAGAGTGTAGTCACTCATGGGGGTCACTTTTTCAATTACATCAGAAACAAAAGCGTAACATATTTATGAGTCAACCTAATCGTAAACTATAATTTTCATACTGACTTGTACTTTATACAGGCAAGCATGTGTACTCCGACGTAGTTTGATGTTTAACCAGCTTGTCCCGCTAGATCAATTACTAGTGAGTAGCAAGAATTGTTTCACATTTAAGCTATGCTTACAAAATGAGACCAGCATTATTTTTGTTTGTTTTTTTTTAATATTTTGGCCAGTTAGCAGGCATTTTTACATTTGCTGCCTAGTCTTCCTCAAAATAAATTTGGGGGATACTTTTTAATGTTTCTTCCTTTTAATTCATCTTAATTGCAATAAATGTTGGAGACATTCTCATTCTTGGAATTTATGATAGTCTCGGGTTGCCAGACGTCACTTACACACCGGACATGTCCCATATTAGATAATGTTGTCCTCTGTTTCACACAGACCTTTCAGGTATACCACAAATGTCCACTAGTTTTTAGTTTATTTACAAATTTCGTAATAAAAATAATTCCTTACCTCCTTCTTACGATTCTTGGTTGTAACTTTATAAGAAATTATAAGTAATCTTTTCGTAGAAACTTTCGATGAAAATAACACACATGTAAGGAGAAAAGCGGGCTCGGGAAACCCACATTAAACTCGGCCTTGTGCCACATGCAACCCTCGTGGTGGGGGTGGCTAGATACCGAAAAGCCAGTGTTTCTAGAACCTTACACAATACTGACGTATTTTCAAATTGACTAGTCTCTATGGTTAGCTGAGGAGAGCGACACTCTTACGGGTTTCCTCATAACCCATTAAATCATTGTTTTAAGTTTTGTCTCTCCTTTTATATAATATATTGGGCTGGGGATGTAGGTATGCATTTATATATTATATATATATATATATATATATATATATATATATATATATATATATATACTGTTTTACGGCATGCTATAATTATGGGTTAAAGTGCTCAATATCAGGGATTAAGCGTATGTAAATATAAAATGGACATTGAAACCAAACACCCAGACCATTGACTGACGATTGTGTCTAGCTCTGGGTGTTGACTTCAATGTCCACACACACACACATACACACACACACACATATATATACACACACATATATATATATATATATACATACATACATATATAGACACACACATATAGATATATATACATATATATATATATATATATATATATATATACATACATACATACATACACATGTATATGTACATACATGTACAGACACACACACACGTATATATATATATATATATATATATATATATATCTTAATCCTCTGGAATTCTCGAATCAACTTATTAATATTGATATTAAGTTCACTAAGGAAGTTGCAGTTGTTTTTATGTCTTTTATTTTCCCAAATACTTTCAATCTCATCCAGGGTCATCTTTAGAGGTGAATTGCTAAGACAAAAAATTAATGCAATTGATAGTTGCGAATTTTTTGTAAATGCGCATGAAACGCGCTTTTTTATAGTGATTTTCCATGCGTAGCTTAGATGTGGCACAAGGCCAAAATTAGGGGGCACCCTGTGAGGATCGAACTCACTAATCAGTCATAATTGTTCTAGCGAGCCAAGCTTGCTAACCATTACACCGCCTCGAGGTGCCCAACGCGC